AGCAGAACGCAGCAACATCTTCGGTGTGGTTGCACATTACGAATGAATGCAGCATAAGAAACAAATCTGTCCCCCTCATCTATCTTCGTTGCCCTCCAGCGACCTTGGACACTAACGAATTTACGGTTTGAGTCTATCCAGCTTAAGCACGCCTGCTCCTACCTAGGATACAACAAGAGCATCGCACATCACCCTGCTTAGACACCAGTTGGCGTCTCGAATCGTCTCCTTCGCAAGCTCTTCACTCGCCGCCTTCACCATGGCAGCATCTGCGTCTACTTCCGCTGCGGGTCCCTCCTCCTTCGGCGCGCTGCTGCTGCCTGGACAACCAGTACCAGCAAGCGGCTCCAGTGGCGCTGGAACGTACCGTCGTGGCTCATACCTGCTCTCCTCCGTCGTGGGCCGGGCTCGCGCCCAGACTTCTGGAGGTGTACAAGGTCACACGTCCGGCTTCATCATTCCTTCGCCAGGTTCCGTAGTTCTGGGTCGCATCACACGGGTAACTCCCAGACAAGCAAGCGTCAGTGTACTCGTGGTTGATGGTCAGCCAGTATCTGCTGGAGCTAGCAACGGGGGCGCAATGTCTGCCGGCGATGCCAACAGAGCTGCGGGTGAGGACCCCGGAGGAGCCGACTTCACCGGTGTCATCAGACAGCAAGATGTGAGAGCGACCGAGAAGGACAAGGTGAAGCTAGCAGAATGTTTCAGGCCAGGTGACATTGTTCGAGCGCAAGTCGTTAGTGAACGTGCTCCGTCTGACTGCGCCAAGAGTAGTTTCCAACTGACGGCGTTCCTCCATTGATCCGCAGATCTCTTTGGGCGATGCCAGATCTTACTACCTCTCAACAGCCTCGAACAATCTCGGCGTCATTTACGCTCTACCTGCCGTGCCTTATTCAGAGGACATTGATGACGAAGTGGACACGCTTGTGACATCTCATCGAGGCACCATTCCCCCTCTAGAACCAGTGAGCTGGATCGAGATGAGAGATCCACGCACGGGTGTCATCGAGAAGCGTAAGGTCGCCAAGCCTGAAGGCGTCTGAAGGACTTCAAAGGCTGATCTTTGGCGCGCATACACACGGAAGGTTGCGGCATACAGGCCGGAAAGTCGAACCAAAAATCGATCTCATCATCGTTTTGTTGGGTCAGCTACAGAACGCCGATAACAAAACGCTGTGTCAGAAACGAGCAATGGAGTTTTGTGTCAGAAACGAGCAATGGAAGGGCTCCGCCGTGCGCTATCGTCACGCCGCTCAAGGGTTCAGAAGCTCTAGTCTGGTCGTTCGGTACTGCAACGAAATTACCACCGGGATTCCCAAGACCATGGTGTAAAGGGATCACGCGACGGCCTCCGGTCAGGTGCCGCCCGGCCATTTCGGAAGATAGGTGGCCTCAAGCTAGTGGGCATGCCCTGCGTAGACAGCTGCCACATGAGCCAGCAGCACACGCCCTTGGCCCCGTCATCGCTGGAGTTGCACAACGATTCAGCGAAGCTCGCGAACCACTTGGAAGGACCCAACTCGATGAACCGCTGCGATAAAAGTAGTTGCGGAACGTCAATATCAGTATACCTCAGCGGAGTGCAGCACGGCGTCGTACCTCGCACAAGATGTCGCAGTACACCCTGCACACGTGAGGATGCCGGAGGACCTCTCGCTGCGCAAAGGTCTTGAAAAAGGCCTGCGACGACATCCACCGCGCCTCTGTCTCAATAGATCCAAATGCACTCGACGAGAGCTGAAGGAGATCCATCTGAATGCATTCATCGAGCAACTCTGATCAGTATTCGCGAATGAGGTGTCAAGCGATCGACTCAAAACTCACCTGATCAGCAGCCGAATAGAGCATCACCATGTTCGACGCGCGGTTGACAGCCGCGACATGATCGTAGTCGTACTTTGAGATCAGATGCAGGTGAAAGTTTCAGTCTCTCTTCGCTCAAAGCACCACTCATAGCTATGCCGACTCACCAAGTACTTTACCAGGATATTCAGGTGCTCTGCATCGACGTCCAAGTTCACGACGTAGATTACGCCAGGAGGTAGAGGGCAGAGAACCGCGGTGACGGTGGACGAGGGGTGAGGACTATACTGCGATTTAGTCTCCAGAGCCCAATCCAGCACGATCTTCAAATGACTAGACGTGCGCAGGACGCAAGAATGGCCAAGGATGGGCAGCGCTCCTGGTGACAAGCCTGCAAATAGCGCGACGTCGCATTCTGGTCGTCCTGCCACTGCCCAGGCACGCACTGACCTCGCGAAGGCATTGTCCTGATTCTCAGTGGCGACTTCAAACGCGTTGCGACAAAGTGCGGGAGCTATACCGGCCTTGGGCGCTTGCTCCGCCACCCCAGAGGCAGCGGATGCATCAGAGTCGACAGACTTAGGGTGGCTAGTGGCAGCAGGAGAAGGCGCACGGGGTTCGAGGGGACTCTTTGCGTTCATGTTGGAAGTGTATGCTTGAAAATGGTAGGCGTTGTGGTTGAGTGAGGCAAGCGCTGGACGATGAGTGTGGGATGGAAAGTGGATTGATTGATCACGCATCCGCCTTTTGTAGCGCACACGAGCAAATCTTTCGGGCTTGAGCAAGCTGATTTCGCAGCAAGACGCCTTCAAGCGAGACAGTATACACGAGACAGGCTCAGGACAAGGACCCATCGACCTTTTAGGATCTCGACCTCCGCTCAAGACCGGAAGCAATCCATGAGCGCTACGCGTATTCACATCGCCGACTTCGCTCTTGGCAGACGAGCAAAGGTCCTAACTAGGGTGGGAAAGCACGCATACAGCGCTTCAAGCTCCTTGTTGCGCCGTATCCTGCACACAGCATCCAAATTCGGGTGGAATGCGGCCAGGCCATTGCTCTCAACCTACAGCATCATGCGTCGACACGCTTGCTGGTTTTGGCACTATGACCGGCGCTGCTGCACAAGCTCCGGCACAGTATCTCCCACGGCAATACCACGCGCCTGCATTTGATCAATGCGCATGGCTCTGCCTCCGCTATCCTTACGACTGTTCGGATCAAACTTTGTTGGGAAAACAGCAGTCGCCCGATGTTTCCCACGACTCACGACCGACTGCTCAACCCGAAGCGCGCTCAATGCTTCATCGATCTGTCAAGCGACCAATATTTACAGCATCGATTTCTTCGTACAATCAGTGTGCAATGCTGCACCTGCCCAATACAACAGCACAACATCATGCAAGCGCCGGCAACGGCTCATTGTCCGGCATACTCAGCGACGACACCCGACGTCGCGAGCCCCACGAACGCAGTGTCTTAAGATCGCTGCGGGGCTCAAGTACGCTGAACGACCAACGGCTTTCCGTCGATCGGGAGTAAACGCGCCAGCCACAGCTGTGCTTCGCCTCGATCGAAGGTACTTGGGCCTTGCGCGCGGCAACCATTCAAGAAAGTCAACGGATGGTCGCCCGACTGCCCGAGAAACGATGTTCACATGCGTCGGAAGCAACGGCATAACAGGTCTAGGCAATTGATGGCTAGACAAAGGCTGGCGTGATGCACCCCTTTTGGAGAAGGTGGCCATTTGCTGAGTGCTCACCGCTTTGAGCTTTACTGCGGCTGGTTGTTGGACAAACTTCGGTTGGATGTTTCGCCCGGCCAGGTAGCTTGGTCAGTGCAGCCACTTATGCTCAATCGGGAAATGCGCCCGTCGTCGACGCATTGATGGGCCTGGCTGTGTATGAATGGCAGGGTGGTACCAGCTATTTCTCACGCCAAAGGATCAAAGACTTGCGTTTCAGAACTCTTGCCTCCGTCAATTTCGCTTCCACATCTCGATTTCCTCGGTTGCTACTGCCTCTTGACGAGTGCGGTCTTTCTTTGCTACATTTCCATCCGCTTGCTCCCGCGCTCTACATCATGCCGCTTCAAGTTCGCTGGCCGACTTCTAGCTCCTCTCGTGGCTCCACTGGACGACAACACTCCAAATCGGCTCCCCCGAGCTCGGTCCCATCGACAGCCCAGACCCCCGACTTGCCAATCTTGATCCCGAGGGACGAACCTCCCCCTCATGGACCTTTGAGCGCGTCCTCCGCGTCTCCTCGGCGTAGGCCGGCCCTCTCTTCGCCGCTTATAAAGTGAGTGTTGTGGCGCTATCGGATGCCTGTGCTCGATTAAGTACTTGCCAGCTTACAAACATTGTTTGTCCTGCGATCGCGTCTCGGCCATGTCAAGTTTCAAGAAACCTGACAACCTCTTTCTAATACATTCGAACATCATGCTACCATTACCGACTCGTGACGCTAAGATGGAGACCAAGAGACGCTTCATGAAATTCCAGCCCAATTGCTACCAGCCGATGCTGCCACCATACGTGCTCACTAAGAACGAGAAACAGGAAGGCCGTTACAAGCTCGATGTCGACTTCATGCTGGCTTGGGCTTGCAAGCATACAGACCCCTGCCACTGCATCGTCAAAGGATCAGACCTGCATGAAGCTGTGGAAATGCAGCGCGATTCGCCCGAGGGAATGGAAATCCTGCTAGACGCTTCTGATGAAGCAACATTGCGAGATCAGGAAGGAAGGGCCAGCATAGTGCCTTCCGCCGATCAGTCGTCACACAGCGCACTCGGCCTCGTACTCGATTCGTATCTCTCTGGTCCCGATGAGCAAACGGCTCCCACGACTTCACCGACGTCGCCCAGTGCAGCTTCGATCCTTCAAAGCTACTTTGCGACTCCCCGGACGCACTGGGATGAGCCTACCGCCACACTCGGCATCACTGGTGTGGTCCCGCAACAAGCCGGTGTTCTGGAAGATCACGACATCAGCTTTACACCATCAGCAGAGCCATCCGAGCTGACATCGCCGTCAACGGCTTCATCCTACATTATATCGCCCGAGGTCCTCGCTAGCATGCCCCTGCCTAGGTCCGAGACGACATCACCTCGTTCCACAAAGATGCGCCGTCACTTTTGCGTCGCCCTCAATCGTTACACCGAACTCTGCGGAGCCGATTGTCTTTTGAGTCCCGCTTGTCGATCTCCATCACGCATGAATCTAGAAGCCGACCGCGCACAGGCTCGGGTCGAACGCGTGCGCGAGCAGAGCAATGAAAGTAGACCCGCTCTCACCCCGCATCCAGCGCCAAATCCAGAGCCCACGGACAGCAGCACGACGGACACATCGAGTGAAGGTAAATTCATACCTTGTGTCCCTCAGTAGGCAGTCGGCATAGCAGGCCTGACCTTCTCACGCGGCTCAACGTATGAAGCAGAGCATTCATGATCATGGCACTACTTTCCTCGACATTGTTCGTCCTTCGAGCTTCCTCACGACCGGGCGATGTTTGGCATGAAACTCAGTCGACGTCTGGAACCGCATTTGCCGAGATCATGCGGAACCTCAGAAGCATATATCTACTTAGATTCGCGTGTGAAGAGTGTAAAGAGTGCGTGCAAGCAATGTAGAGTGACGTTTTTGACAGCGTGACTGGCAAGAAGTAGCGCAT